GGTATATTGCTAGCAATGGGGCTGTCAAACTCCATTGCTAACAATCCTTTTCGCCCTGCAATGGGGCTATTAGACTTCCTTAGCAACAATCTCGTCCCCTACTATGCAGCACTCTTGTAATTAGAAGTAAAGACAGTCGACAATTTATCCTCTATCCGTCCTTTCTTCCGATTTATTTATGCAGCCCACAGAAGGCCTAAAGCCCCAGGCTATTTCAGTAATGATGTTTGCTCGGCGGCGACAAGTTAACAACGTGTATTGATCGGTCGCGATAAATCGAGCTCTGTCTGTTAGGTATCAATAGGGCGACTAGATAATAATACGGTGACTAACAATAAATACTGACAATACATAATAGATACTATTTCAAATAGTTATAGTTTGTCTAATCATGGGCTTCTAAAAAAGGGTATATTAAGGTTTCTTCAGGGTCAGAAACGCGCACGTGACACCCCTAGTGTTGCAGGCGTCTATAAGTTACTGGGTCCGTTTATTATCAAACGAGCTGTATGCTTGTTCACCACTTTTGTGGCATAAGTGGCGGTCCTCCACCGTGCATTTTTGCAGGCACTTTCTTTCACGCACAATTACTTTTTAGAATCAACTTCCAGCAGTAGTATTTCCGAACCGACTAGGTATCCAACTTCGACCGAGAGTTCAACCTACGAATCCAATTTGGCTGAACAACGTTCAGAAAACTAAGCCACTTCTTCTCATCCAAAATCCCTCAAAGTTAGAAGACGAAAGACTTTAACCAGTCGTGTTGCCAGTGATGATCTATGGAACCGAAACATGGTCCTACACGGTTGCTCATATTTAAAAGCAGCAAGTTACTCAGTGAGCTATGGGAAGGGCTATGCTCGGTGTTTCTTTACGTGACAGAATCCGAAATGAGGATATCTACAAAAGATCCAAAGTCAAACCATAGCCCGAACGATAAGCAAGCTGAAGTGGCTTTGCGCTGGTCACATAGCTCGAAGAACGGTCAACCGCTGGGGAAGAGAAGTTTTCGAGTGGCGGTCCTGTACGGGTAAACACAGTGTACGACGACCACCCACTAGGTAGAGTGATGATCTCAAATGCATTGGGGTCAATGAATGCAGGTGGCCCAGGACAGTTCTTTGTGGTAGTCTATATGGGAGACCTATGTTTTAGTAGTGGACGAATAACAGCTGATATGATGATATTATTTAATTTAAGACTTTGTCATTCAAAAGCAAAATTAATTAACTGATTTTGATTTTTTTTGGGATCAATCCTTTAAGTTTTTTTTTTATACAACTTAGAATGGCAAACAAGCTGACGGCCCACCTGATGGAAAGTGGTAACCGTTGCCTATAGACATGAGCAGTACCATGGACATAACAGAGTATACTGTTTCGCCCATGATACCCCCCATGCGTTGCCATTCCTGAGGACTCAGGTGTTATTCCTCTGTACCCAGTAAATTCACGCCATATCCCACCCTTCAAACCGAAACACAACCATGCAAACACAACTGATTCACGGTAGAAACACGAATGGGACAGAGGTACCTAAGCAATTGACTTTTGTACAAATATAAAAGGAATTTTCCAAATCAGTTTATAACTGACGGAGTTATGAAGTAACAAACATAAGAAAAAAAAAATACAACCGAATTGAGGAAAATTCCATTCTTTATGAAGTCGATTGAAAAAGGGAATTCAATGGTGACCAAATTAGTGAGGGTATTGTAATAAACCGATAGGCCAATTCTGAACCGACGCGGAAATGAGCGTATTTATAATTCCCTTTACAATTGATGGGGATTGATTCTATAATAAGCTTGTTACAATAAAATTTGCTATATCTCTTGTAAAACACAGAAAAGTACAAATGTGATTACATACATACATACATACATATCTGTCACGCCTGTCTCCCATTAGGGTAGGCAGAAACAATGGAACGCCAAATGCTTCGATTCAAACAAACCTCTTTCGCTTCTTCCACATTCTAATGTGACTAATGAAATGATAATTTGATTTAATATAAGCAATAAATAATAAAATATATATAATAAAATAAAAAAAATATAAGCAATATTCATATAATTTCAATCTTTATTGTCCATTGCTGAATGTAGTTTTTACTATAGTCTATCTTGGGGGGAAGAGATTGTTGGTAATGCAGACTACCAGTGCCTTTGCTAGCAATATACCCTGTCAGGTTGATCTCCACGTGCTCCTCCCTAGAAACCATCGTGCTGAATACAAGGACATTAAACAGATTACCTCAAATAATGGACTACTTTTATTATTATGTGGGGTAAAGAGGTTTCTTCAGGGTCGGCAACGCGCGCGTAATACATCTGGTATTGCAGGCGTTCATGGGCTACGGTAGCCACTTACCATCAGGTGGGCCGTATACCTGTTTGCCACCTCAGTGGTACAAAAAAAATTAGAAAAAGAAAAGAATATATTTAAACAATACCCACTGAATATACCCAAGCTGAAGCGGTCTTCAAATCCGAAATACATTGCGCGCCAAGTTTCCACTTCACATATTTTTCCTTTTTATTCCCCTCAAATATAATATTTGGGGCACGTACCTCTGAGTAGGCTGGACGAAATTCATAACGTTATATTGCAGCTATATTGAAAAATAGTTATTTAGATTAGCGCTGGGCCCACGCTCCCATGAACAGCCGGATGGAATCCCGGATATTTTATTCCGACTTGAATGTTAACGCGACTCGCCATGTACGAATTTGTACGGGTAATCATTTCAGCTGCTTTCCTGTTTTTGATGGTTAATCGTGGTGATATTAAATTTTGTGATCGTCCTTTGGAAGTGGGTTGTAAAATTTATGTTTGTTTTATTCAAAAACTTATTAGGAATTCCGTGTGTTATGAGAGAACTATGGCTGGGTAATATTAAGCAATATATATATATATTTTATTCACAATATGTATATATTGGTTCATTTATGAATATGTTCAATATAACAATCCAATATACAATATCGAAAAGGATAAGACGGCTATATTTGTGGGTAAAGATGTCCCTGACGGACTGACAGACTGACTTTCAGACAATCCCTATGAAGCTGACATAGTCACTCCGGTTTACTAAAGTCTCAACAAAAATTTGATAAAAAAAAAAGTTAAAATATCTATATACTGGTCCAATATCGAATTTGTTAAAAGTGTGTTATCCAATAACATGTTTTTTATTTTTTACTTTTAACATATTCAAGAATAGATATCTCACCGATATGGGCGACATTCAAATGGGCGGTGAATCCAATATATAGGTACATAGATATCGATTCAGTATCCATATTACCCATCCCTATATAGCTATTCTACTTTATTTAGTTCTATGTTCACACTCGTCTATTGGGTCCATATATTGATCGAATAAAAAGAATATTAGATAATCATACATCTAATATGGTGAAGGCGATATTGCAATGGGTAGTTAACAATCTCCAGAAGAACTAAATATATATATATCGGATATTACCATCTCTAGATAGAACAAAATACGAGAATTTAACGTAATCTGAATATTTTAATTGTATACTTTTATTTGAAGTTGGTTTCTATTGAAAATTGTTTTTTTTTTATCTTTGTCTAATGTAGCTTACTTTTAAACGACTTTAAAAAGAGCAAGTATCCAATTCAATTTTTTTTTACGTTCGTCACTTCATAGCTGCGTTAGTTGTAAGACGATTTGGAAAATACTTTTTTATTTAAGAGGATATACTTCCAGACTAATGCTATAGAATTTTATCAAAACCAATTTAGTAGTTTATTTTTTAAATCAAAATAACTGGTTTTACCATAACTGCAGACGGTTTTTTTTTAGATAAAAATATTATATTATTTTTCATACAATTCTTTCTGAAAATAAAAATTATACTAGTGTTTAATAAAAAAATAAAAAAAAAACATTTCTCCAAGATGTCTTTAATAGGGGCATCTTAAAAAGAAGAAAATAAAAAAAAAATAATAAGCCTTTGAGACCTGCAATTAAAACACCCTTAAAGGAAAAGGGGTTTAAATTAATTAAATGACAGTTCCCCGGGGTCTTGATTCTTTTTGAACATCTCTATTTTCTGCTTTTAAAACCGTTGAATAATAAACATTTTCTTTTATATTTTTTCTTGTGTTGTTTCACCGTTATTAATACGAGAACAATATATATTTATACTAACTATATAACGAACTGCAAATCAGAGAGAGATTATCGTTGACTGTTCAAATACGTATTCTCAAGTACTTCGGTCATATCATCCGGAATGAAAATTGTATGGAACGTCTAATTGTCCAAGGGTTAGTACAAGGCAAACGTTCTCGGGGTGGATCACCAACGCGATCGACTGACCTCATCAAAACGGCCACACAGCAGTCTATTGTGGAATGCTCTCGCTCGACTGTGATCAGAAGTAGATGGAGACGCATTGAGAGGACCTCAATCGCGAAGGAGGGCCTCATCGACGATCCACTGTCATTATAAAAACCACGACCACTCTGTCAAGAGTGTACAACCAGAGGAAGACTTTGTACAAAAGTTGCTTGGTACCTCTGTCACATTCGTGTTTCAACCGTGAAGCAGTTGTGTTTGCATGGCTGTGTTTTGGTTTGAAGGGTGGGATATGGCGAGAATTTATTGGATTCAGAGGAATAATACCTGAGTCCTCAGGAATGGCAACGCATGGAGGGTATCATTGGCGAAACAGTATACTCTGTTATGTCCATGGTACTGCTCATGTCTATAGGCGACGGTTACCATTTTCCATCAGGTGGGCCGTCAGCTTGTTTGCCATTCTAAGTTGTATAATATATATATTATATTACTATTTACTTATAGTAATGCATATGTATTAAATAATGTATATGTACGAATATTATATTATAAATATGAATATTTTGTTTGCTACGTTATAGCACCTTAACGGCTTAACCAAATACCATTCCATTATCACTCATTAAAAAAAATAAATGATTAAACATTATTTTCCATTGTTGCAGAGTCCACACAAATGTGCAGATGCAAAAATGTGACAGTGAAAGTTTTGAGGCATACACCTAAAATGAAGCGACGCTCGCTGGCCACCGTCCGCGAGGAGCCGTCCAAGAGCAGCAGGAACGGCGACTTCGCCATTTACATAATGGTGACCACCACAGCCGTTCTCAGCTACGTGAACAGCTTGAACGGTGACTTCGTCCACGACGACATACCAGCTATTGTGACGAATGGTGATGTGACGGGTGCAAACTCTTTAAAGCACCTGTTCTTGGATGACTTTTGGGGAACGCCGATGGCTGACGTGAATAGTCATAAATCATACAGGCCCCTGACTACGCTCTCATTCAGGTAAGTCCATAAATAATAATGGCGATTTTTCAACGTCTTGAATACAATTCCGTTCGTTATGTTAATATTATTACGCGTTATAACACTGAATGGTGAATTTTATTAAAGGCACCTAATAGAAGGTCCTATATTAGGTATAAGAGAAAATTTTTTCATTCAAATGAACTTAATTATAAATTTTTTTTTAATATATATTTTTTTCTCAAACATACTTGGAAATGTCATCATTATTTTGACAATCTTCTTCGAGATAAATCAAAATTGCCGTACCGGCCAGATACATGCGGGCGGCGGCCGGCAAAAGTTGTATGAAAATCCATATCTGTTGTGTTTTGCGGCCAGATAAATTACTATGTAAACTCATATCTGTCTTGTAATTTAAAAATGGAATGACCTTTTACTTCGAAAAATGGCTACCAAGGAGGTAACTAATAAAAGGTTTTATTTAAAATTTCAACTGGCTTGCAAATAGAAAGCTGTTTATTGAAAAAAAAAAAACAAAGGAACATTATGGCGCGTGAAAAATTATTATTGTTCGTTATTCGTCATTGAACTTAAAAAGTAAAATTGTGTTTTTGATTTCCGCACATTGTTTGAGAAATGTACTATACAAGTCTTAGCCACAATTAGGCATTGATGGACTCATGTATGTGTGCCTCGGCTACGCCTTGGCCCACATTTGCACGTTCGTCCATCAATGTCTCAGTTGCTGGCCGCTGCAATAATGTACTATTATGATCGTACCGCCTGTTCGGAATGCAATTTCATTGGAGAAGAACGGGCAAGAAATTCAACTGTTGCTTTCTAAAAATTAATTTATAAAAGAATTGTTTTATAAGAATATTAATAAATTTATATAAGAATATTTTGTTAGTACTGTATATAACTATATGCGATGGTTATCACTTTCTATCAAGCGGGCCGTGAGCTTGTTTGCCAGTCTAAGTTGCATAAAAAAAAGACTATCAAAGAAAACAAGAACACAATAAATATTTCTTTTTCATAACCTTACTTTAATTTTATATATTTGTTTTATGACATGTCAATTCCATAATATCACAAAATAGGTTTATTACTACTGTGACTAAAACTCACAATAGAAATAATGAATACATATATTTTTAAGTACCCGTAACCGGGCGCGTGTATGAAAAGATTGATGAATGTGGAAGAAGCGAAAGAGGTTTGTTTGAATCGAAGCATTTGGCGTTCCATTGTTTCTGCCTACCCTAATGGGAGACAGGCGTGACAGATATGTATGTATGCATGTATATATTTTTTTATATTACGAAGGTCGCACGAAATAATCATACAGCTCGTCTGATGGTTTTACTATCACTGTAGCTTCCGGACGCCTGCGACACTAGGGATGTCACTTGTGTTTTGAAAAACTAAATACTGTAGCCTCTAGGGGAAACTTCGGAAACACAGTCTGCCGGCACTCCTCTAAAACTGCACTGTACACAACCATTTGGGTTCTAGCGTGTAGGGTTTAATTCTTTGTCGATGGCGAACGAGGCGATGATTAAAGGTGGTTGTAGGCATCATTTCGAATAATTCCTCAGAACACAATCTGTTATATAAGCGATAAAGCATACAAAGGGAGGCAAAGTCTCGTCTTAGACTTAAGGGTTCAATACTGAAAAATAGGGGTAAGGAATAGTTTAAAAACCCTATATATTACTCTATATATACGATTATAACAAATAATTTAATAATAATGTCAGTAAACATTATATTGACTCAATAATTCAACTTGATCGACTATTATGTAATCGTTTTAGACCTAAATATAATAACTGCTAAATTGTACCAATATGTACTTTAATATTTAGAAATAATACAATTACATAATTTGATAAATGTTATTTAAATATATTATTTTGTAACTATTAAAATTAAAAAATTAAATGAAATGTAGTTATTTATATCTTTAACAACTGTGGCAAATTACATGTATGTAGGTTAAATAAGCTTCGTCTTGGGAGGATGTCAAAAATAGCTCAAAACGGTTTGTGTAATATTACACTAATTTATTCACCGAAGGAGTTATAAAGTTACAAACATAACAAAATAGAGTCGAATTTGAAAACCTCCATTTTTATCTGTTTGTTAAAAATAAAAATGAATTTAGAATCCTTTTCTTTTGTAAATTGCTTAAAAATCACGTGCACAATATTTAGGGAATCGCGCTGTCGAGGTATAATTTTCTCTAAAATGTATCTAAGAACATAAATATGGGGAATACAAGATAAGGAATGGAAGGCAACGTTTTCTCTTCACCAAAATATATTTCAGTCATAAATCTAGGTCAAGTTCTAGTAAAATTTAATGCAGCTAGTGGAGTAGGGACTAGTAATATATGAGAATTATTTGCTAGCATTGTGAAATTAATGTACTGGTAAACGAATAACGATAAATTTGTTCGGTGTTCCATTTATCAGATTTATTTTAACTGACCGTCTGATCATCTGTATTTTGACATTCTAGTGTTATACAGTGTTCGCGCGTTTCTTTAATTTTATATATTTTTCGTAACAATTATAAATTTATTCTCATTATATATGCTAGTTCAATAATAATAATCGATACCTAGTGCTAAATTCATTTCCCTTGATCCTATCCTCTCCAATCACCGTCATCGTCTTTACCTCCGAGTTATAACAACCAATGAGGACGCTGGAAGATTATAAGAAACTTCAGAGCTGTCTTCAATCCTAACCGTCAATGTGACCTCCGCAATCAACGAGTAATTACGTGTTTAAGAAAATATTAATAAAATTGTTGTGCTGCAAACTGTAACATTTAAAGCGTTGCCGCTTACATAATTTTGAAGTGCTGTGTTATAGACAATATTTTAGTGTGTGTACATTGGTGACAAAGTGACGGAAGAAATCAAGGCGCCTGCACAGGACATCATATGATAGCCCACGACAAGACGGTGAGTCCTCAAATCCTTTTCGTTATCCCTGCCACACCTAGATTTCTCCTATAAAACCCACCATTTGATGGTACCTATCGAACCGGATTTAAAAAAAAAAAAAAAAAAAAAACTAGCTTGAACTAGCATTTCATCATCTTAATATTACACGGCATCCGCCATTTTGTACCCTCTTAATAATTAATCGCATCCGCCCACCAGCACAACGTGTTATTATTTCTATTATTTTCTAATTCACAACCGCTAAAATACATATCCTAGTTTATATTCAATACCGCAGTAATAATTAACCGCTTTACAAAAAAAATATATCTACCTTTTCTATATCAATATAAACCGCGTAAATATAATTAGTCACATTCATCGCTAAAACCGCATTGTTCTTTATATGCCTACATACCAATCGCAATATTTCTTTAATACCACTACATACCTGTCGATTTTATTTTCGAGTACTGGTAAGCCGCATCTGTGTACCCACATACTTTTTTATTTCATTTGTCGGTAGTTCATTTTTTATTTCGTTTAATTCATCAAATATCAAATCAAATATTCATCAAATTTTATATCTAACGCTAATTGTCATCTCTAAAAATGAATGCAAAAATTTCTATATTAAACGCTAAAATTAATTGTATTTTCCAACGTATAAATAGACTGCATGATTCGGCAAAAAAGGTAAACGTTTCTAGTCCTGAGCTTCGTTCTACGGAGGCGTTCATGGCGGACACAGAAACATTGTCTGTGATTCGTGATGAATTTATTGCTAATATAGATACGATAAATCAATATAAAATTGATGAGGATCCTACGTATGTACCTAATTATTCTCAACTTACCGCATTTGAAGATATTTATACGCGAATTCAAAGAGTTCGTTCTCAATTGATGCAATCGCAGTCGCAGGGCTCTCGGATGAAGGTCCAGGAGGGAAGGTCAGGGATACCCCTCCCCCTATTGAGCTTAAATCGTTTAATAGCCAGGTTGAGCTTTGGCCAAGCTTCTACGAGTGTTTCAAGATTAATGTACATGATAATGAAGGTCTATCTGATTCACAGAAATTACATTATCTGTTGGGTAAATTGTCAGGTCCTGCTTTAAAACTGACGGCCGGTATTGTACCAGCCGGAGAGAACTACGCTAGTATTTGGCAAAGTTTAGTTAATAAGTACCAAGACAAACGAGCATTAGGATCTCATTACATGTCTATTTTAATGAATATAAAACCTGCTATTAATAATGCTGCTTCGCTTGACACGTTTATTGAATCGTTTAGCGCCGCGGTGTCGGCCTTAGAACAGCTAAAAATTACCGATCTTAAAGATTTCATGCTATTAACTATTGCTTTACGAAAAATAGACTCAGTAACCGCACAGGCATTTGAAATGGCAATTAGAGATAAGGAAATCCCTTCTTATTCGGAATTTGTCGAATTTATTAAAGGTCAAGTAAAGATATTAGATCGTACTAGTAACCGCCCTACGGTTATACCTACCGTAGCCAGCCCGCGTCATAACAATACAGTCCACTACTCTAAAACTTTGCTATCACGTGATAATATCGAATCTTGTTCAATGTGCAACAATGGTGATCATTTGCAATTATACCAATGTACAACCTTCAAATCGCTTCCGGTCGAACAACGTTTTGAGTTTATCAAAAATAAACGTGCATGTATAAATTGTTTGAGTATGTCACATACTGTGTCGCGTTGTAATTCTTCGCATTACTGTAAAATGTGTAACAAACAACATCATACACTATTACATAAAACTAGTCTGAGCAATAAATTAAATAATCGAAAACAACCCTTTACGCCGCCGTCCTGCTCGCACGCATTACTTGCAGCGCCGTCGGTTAGCACAGCTGAGGTTCCCGCTCATACTTTGTGTAATTGCCCCGCGCACCCGCCGCTAGCGGTAACCCCGCCAATCGCGCAGCTCCCGCCGCCGACTCAGCTGACTCCGTGCGTTAATAACCAAGTTTCATTGTGTGCCCGCGCGCATGTTATTAATAACAACAATACAATATTGCTTAGCACGGCACAGATAAACGTTTT